CCCCAAAACCCCAAAACCCCAAAACCCCAAAACCCCAAAATGTCATATGCATAAACAATTGGTTGAAAACAAAAATGAATTTAAATGTTAAGAAACTGAATATACTATGACACTAACCAGAGATGCTAATACAGTTAATTGACAAATAGCATCAAAGCAGGTTTCATTTATAAACTTATTCTCATTATAGCTCAGCTCCTAGAGTTGTCTCATCAGTGTAGGTTATATAGAGAAAGCCATCGTTATCTTTTCTCTTTTCATATGCATGAGCCATTAGCGTGTCTATATTTCAATTATTATCAACTCAATTTTAATTATGTTCAGTTATATCTATTCGACCTCTCAGCTTCTTTACTGATATTTAATCAGCAAAGAAAGCAATTTAATTAGATCACCAATATTTCCTGATTATTCCGTCAGAATTGGTCAAAGTTTACTTACCTCCCTTGAGTAAATACTTTCCATTAACAAAGAAATAAAGTGAGTCTTTCTCTGGGAGCTTGATTCTTTTCCTGATTATGTAGTTGAAATGATAAGCTGTCAGATCGCTTGGAACAAGGTACCTAAAAATATTAATATCAGTCTAGTTTTATTTTATGCTTTTCAATAAAATTGAGAATATTCGTGTCTGCGAACTTACTTAGTCTTATCAATATCTGGGAGCTTAGAGGTTTCTGATTTCTCGCATATCACTGGAATTCTATCTGGATATCTCTCTCTAATTCTCTCAGATTCACTTCTTCTTTGCTCTAAAATAACATTATAAAGATGACTATTTGAAATACCGAAATCTGGATGTGCCTTTTTATAATTCATGATTAGAATTAGAAGTTTAAATATATTAATGATTATAATTGTTTGTAATTATTGATAACTTAATTATTAATTTTTTATCCATTAATCGAGTTATAATGTTTGGCAGAAATTATCTAGCGAGGTCGCTGCTTTAATTAGCAAACAAGCCTAATATTGATAGGAACATGATGAAATTGATGAACATGAGGTTAAGAAGATTCTCATCGATGCCTCCAAATATGCCACCTGGTCCAGGCGGTCCAGGAGGGAAAGGACCAGGTTCAGGAGATGGTGGATATACCACAGATGAAGAAGGAGCTTCATTTGATAGTGATCGCAGATTCTCAAATTTTATACTATTTACAGGAGCATTTGCACTTGTTATGCTTTTTCTTGCTTCGAACGTGATGCATTTAAAAAAGGAAAGAGAAGCAAAAAATTAGAATCTTTAGACTTAATAAAAAAGCAACAAGCCTTAGACAACCTATACTGGAAAAGCAGACATTGGAGGGCCATGGGTATTGTACAATACAAAAGGAGAACCAGTTACCCACAAAGATTTCTAGGGAAAATATTACCTGATATATTTCGGCTTCACCTTTTGTCCAGATGTTTGTCCAGTCTCTTTGATGAAGATGACCAAGGCATTGAATAGAGTGAAAGCATCTAAAGAATATAAGTATTTTGATTTAGAGGCTATATTTGTGAGTGTTGACCCTGATAGAGATACTAATGAAAGGATAGAAGAATATGTTAAGATTTTTGATGACTCATTGATCGGGCTTACACATAAACAAAATAGTCATCCAGAGCTTAAAGAAATGCTCAAGAGATTTAAGATTCATGTTAGTAAGATCTATCTAACAGAGGAAGAAGAAAAAGAAGATTTATAGACTCTTAAGGAAAATGCTCCTGAAGTTCTAGAGAAAATGCAAAAATTGGAAAGCAAAAAGGATGAGAAATACACCTTAGATCATTCCATCATTGTTTACTTGATTGGCCCTGATAACCAGTTTTTAACATATCTTGGATCAAATCTTGATGAAAATGATATGACTGATATTATCCTAGATGAAATATCAGCAGATCTTAAGAAGAAAGTTCTTAATCCAAATAAACAGTAAATATGAAATATTGTAGAGTCAACTCTAGAAAAGCCTTTGCTACAGACAATGAACCATCAAATGATCGTTTGTTATAGTTAGTTCCTTATTTAAAATTAAGTGTCATTAATTAGATTAAATCAAATGCTAACTTCGAGAAAGCTGGCTCATTATTCACAAACAGACAAAATGATATATTTATAAATGATGTCTCTTAATCACACTGCTTATGCTATATTAATGGTCAATCTTCACCAAATTTACATAAACTACATATGGCGTAGGTTTGAAGGTCATTCTGTCCGACTATACTTGTATAACTTTAGCAAGTATTCCACTTCTTTTTCCTTATGTCATAGACTTCATTGATTCCATCAATTGTACCTCCTATTGCAAAAATTTGCAAATTTTCCTTTACAGCCATATTACTATACATACTGCGTCTAAAGTTAAGTTTTGATAATTTAGTCCATTTCAAAGTATTACAATCAAATTTATAAGCTGTATTCACACAGCTGTAATTAGTATTTTCACCTGAGGATCTAGTACTTTAATTATCAACAAGCAAGCCACCAGCTATGACTATTTGATTTTCCTCTATTTTAGCTAAACCATACTTTGCAAGTTTGATTGGCATTGTTATAGTCAAAGATGTCCATTTATCTAACATTATGTTATAGAATTCTATCGTATTTGTTGTCTCATAATTCTAAAACCCACCAAATACATAAATGAACTCTTCTTTGACTCGAACTGCGGAAAAATATGCTCTCTCCTATGACATAGGTGCTATAGGAGACCATTCATTTTCTTTTATACTGTACTTTTCACATGTGTTTAATGTATTAGGTGCTTAAGCCTCATCATCTCTATGATTAAAACCACCTAAGACTAAGACTAAATGATTAATAAATACTGAGGCATGTCCATACCTAGCCTATTTCAGTCTTTATACTTCTCTAAAAGTTCTCATATTTGGAATACTAAATCTATAGCATTAAGATGATGCCTCCTTTGTTGCTTTATTGCATCCACCAGTCATAATAAATTCTCGTTTTTTAGAATTAAGCTGACATATGCTTGTAAATTTTAAAGTACCTTAATAATCAGAGCCTTCTCTATCGTAATAAATTTATTACCAGATTGAATTCTTATAATCAAACATTAGAATATATCGTGTATCTCCAATGCAATATATAGCATTATCTAACAGTTTGATCTTTTAAGATTGAATTTCTTCTACTGTCTCTTTATCAATCTGTTTCAATTCATTTTCTTTTTGCTGCCGACTTGATATTATATTTATATTATTCTGATTCTCCTAGGTTGGCAGGTTTTCGTAGTTAAGTTAAAGTTCCTAAGAAGTTTCAGTTCCATGTCTTTGGAACTTTAGTTTAGCAAATTTTGATCCAAATTAACTATCTTTTACAATATTTTTATTTATTAGTAAGTTAGTAGTAGCAAAATTTTAAATCTAAGTATCCTCGTTTGATGCAGCATAGCTATCCTAAGAGTTGTTGTTATTTTGCAAGCTTTTACTCCTACTATTATTAGAGTGTTAATTATTTTGAACCAAAATTAATCCATTTTAGAGATTTTATTTTATAGGCGATTCATGATTATTTGGCTAATTGGTAGGCGTGTTATTTAATGAAGTTCTCGGAAAAGTAAATGATGATTCATTTTAGTTATTAGATGTTATAATAATCGGATTTTAAGATTATTATGATGGCTGAGAAAGTTAGCTTAAGGAGTTATTATTGCTAGATCTAAATTATTAGGAATTCTGAAGCCTAACCTTTGGAACTATATCTTTCGGAGGAAGCTATTTCAATTACTACAAATTTTAGCTTAAACTATAATCACCAATCTTAGAGCTATCAAATGCTAATGCTTAAATCAAGTTATTAGCATTTTATAGATTAAGTTCAATTGGTCTAAGACCAATTGATGTTCCCTCTTGGTATTCTATCTTTGCATTCTCTATAAAGTTATTAAAACTTATTAACTTACTGGATGCAATGAGAATTGATTTCAACTTAAGAGTATTCTCATAGATAAATCTATCATATTCTGGGGCTCTATTTAGGAACTCTACTTGATCTGGGGAACAATCATTTTTAATAAAGTTATCATCTTACAGCTTATTGAATATTTCTTCATAAAATTCCTTGGCTACTTTGAGCTCATGAAATTATTCAACTATCATTTTCAACTTATCTGCAACCTTAAATACTGCTGATTCGTACTTGTGCAAGACTTCTCTACTTATTTATTACTTTCTTTCTTCAATTTTCTGAATAAGATCTTTGAACTTCTGATCTATCAATTTTTATTATTTTTCACGCATTTACTCTACTTATTTATGATAATCTACTAATATATTTTTTGACTCTTCGTTTTCCTTGATGACTTCAACTAGCTTTTCATCAAATGAAAGAAGTTTTGATCTCATTAATTTAAGAGCATCATCTATTTATGAAAGCTCGTGACCATTATGATTTTCAAACATACATCGAGAACAAACTGATTGATGGCATTGTTAACAATAATACTCAATAAACCTTTCAGCATGAATCTTGCAATAGAATTTCGAAGATTAAGTTAGTTATTTTTCAATTTTTGAAGCCTATCTTTAACTCATGATTTGCTTGCTAGGACTAGATCTGTTATTTAAAGTAGGTGATTAGTTTAAAATGGACTAAGAATATGACCTCCCATTACCTCTTTCTTTGTGTTACTCATCTTAATTTACCGATATATTATTTTGATCAGATGCAGTTAACTTCTCTGATTAATCTAAGTGTTCATTCAAGTTTGTTCCTTAATTACTACTTGATTTTTATGTAGTACTGTATTTAGTTGTACCTGGGCTCTTTAAAAAGTAAGATGGTCCTTGTGATTTATTGCTTTGATTTCCATCATAAAATTGATTATTCATATTATGAGGGAGATTAGATGCATGGTTTGACTAAAAAGAGTAGATAGGTTTAGTTACTGGTATTTGATTATTATTTGCTATCCTTAACACATTCTGATTTTACTGAATCTCATTTTGAATTCTAGAGTTGATTGCAAGATTTACTGCAGCTAGTAACTTTTAATTTATTTTGAGTTGTGATAATTCCACTTTATCATGGCATTAATTGCAAAATTTACAATTTTCCAAGACTATGAATGATATTAATTATAATCAAAAGTATGAGCTGACTTACTTTGGACTTCCAAGACACAAATATGGCATACAGTTTGACCACAGGGCATTATTAGAGGCATCCTATCTTGGTTATCAAAATTCAGTTCACAATTATCGCAAAACAAGCCGAAATCCATTTCCTTGTTAATTCTTATTGAGAAAACGAATAATTATAATTAATTCTTATTATTACTAAATTCAAGCAGATATTGTAAATTAATCATAGATCTGGTCCAGTCACAATTGGCTGCTGAGTTCCATCCTTCGTTTCTCTAGTCACGAGGTATCCTCCAATAAACAAACAGATAATGGCAGTGATAAGTAGATGAATTATCTGGAATCTAGATTCATTCTTGTAGTCTACCTCCTTCCAGTCATATTGTTGCTTATCATTGTCTAGAAGTTGTCTCTTCAAGCCATCAAGTTCTCCTAGCACTCTTTTTTTATCAGATTAAATCTATTCTAGTTATCTATTGACTTCTTCTGTCTTCTTCTTGATGTTTTCTTGATTCATATTTTAACTCTGACTCTGTGACAAAGACTAATTGATATCATCACTATTGAATTTATTAAACATTGGAATGAAATTACTCTGGAGCTCTTTCATATTCATGCTTTTGGGCCTTTGATGTTTGAAAAGATTTTGCCATTGAGTCTTAGAGAGGTGCTACATTTGATTGTGAGAAACTTTATCTTTTAACTTCCTCTTATTAAGGCTGACTACTAATTCTTGATGAGATATGAGTATTTACATTTATTCTCTAAATGAAGACAAATTTTCTATTTCACTCTGAGGTTTATTAGCGTTCGGTGAGATCTGTCCTCCAAAAGATTATGCGCTTGCAAAGTTTTAATTATTTTGAGCGATAGAAACCTTCAATTTATATGCTGATATCTGATCTTTTCCCTTTTTATCCCATAGAGTGTTCAATTGATAAGTCTAATAGCAAGAATTAATTAATCGCAGTCAGATATCGTTATTATAACATTACTTCGGAAGAGGAAAGCTCACATTGTGCTACCTGAACTAAAAATTTATTTGAGTCAATTTGATTCTCCTATAAAGCATATTTTAAAACTTAGCACTTTAAATGAATTAACTTACAGCTGAAGTAATCAAGGTGATATCAATAGAAATCTTAGAACCCTTATCTAAGATTCCTTGGTTGGGCTTAACTACATAGAATCTAGGTGCAGTGGTCTTAACTTTGAATGCTACACTTCCCTAAGACACGTTAGTAATTGTTAAGTATGTCTTGTAAGACTGATTATCTGGCTGACTGAAGAATCTTAGTTCTGCTTCTGGATCAATTTAAACTAGCTTATTTCTAAAGTAAGAGAAGTTTATTGAAGAGACTGAACTTAATAAGATATGTAAAATATTAGCAGATGAATTCTTACTTAGAGGGATCCATTTGCTATCTTTTGATTTTAACTTAATATTATAATGATTATTATAAATAATTATTAATTTAATTTTAACTCTTATATCGTTAAATGAAAAATTCAAAGAAGAGTAATGACCCGGTTAACTCGAATTAAAAGTACCTCAGGTAGCTAAAAAAGCATTCAAAAAGTCCTCCTGCTAGAAAAACAACAGCTAAATAATAATTAAAATCACTTGATTCAAATCAATCACCCAATCAGAAACAACATAATTTCAGCAATAAGACTATAAATTCAGCAAAAAAAGATATTGATATGATGCAGAGCAAATAAGCTAAGAAATAGGAAAATAGCGGTGAGCATGTTAACCAGAATTAGTAATAGTAGCACACAACTTATAGTACCAATTCAACTATAATGAACACTAATTCTAATAGGAATATTCATAATTAACATAGTAGCTAAACAGGCATTAATGAATTGTTGATGACTGCAAGTAATTCATAAACACCTTAGAAGTTTAATCCAAATGTCTACGGAATATTTGATTCAAATTAGAGTCCAATGAGCGAGGGCTTAGATGTGGAACTTTTAAAAAAATTTGATAGTTTCAAATAGATTGATCAGCTTGTCTAGTAGTAAGGTAAGCAAATTATTATATTGTAATCATTTATATTAGAGAATCTGTACAACTAGATAGCATCATATTAGCAAGTTTAGTTCTAGTAAATAGATATATAGAGATAAAGTTCTAAGAAGCGGAAGATCAATTCAAACTCTCAATCGCAATTTACTCTATAAAAAGAAGATTTGGGCAAGAAATAGAGAAACAGTGAACAATCGATAGAATAAAACAGTAGTCAAGTTTATAATGACACCCAAATTACTAGTAATAATAAGAACTAAAATCTAACAGGTAATCTTCGAAAGGGTAGAAATATGACATAGTCTAGTAGCTTTAAAGCGCCTTATCCAAAGACAGTCGGCTCCATATCTCAGGATAATAGTCAATCACTTATGTCATTACAGAGCGAATAAAATAACTTAATTTATAAAAATTCGATCTCTTCAAATGATCCTTTTCAATCAAAAAGCTTTTAAAAAATTCTTAGAAATCAAAAGGAATCAAATGGATCTATTTATGGAAATATCATGAAGTAAGATAATAAGTTCTAAACTTCTTGCTAAATCATCTATAATGAGGATTAACCTGATTTATATGAAATTTAAAACCAAAATCACAAATAACAATTGATTTAAACCTTCTAAAGTTCTTAATCTTAGAGGAGTAGGCCATCATAAGTAACCGATAGATTAATAACTATTGGGATTTTATACTAAGCAAAGAAAAGTAAACTTAAGGAGGAATAAGATAAGAAAATAGCAAATGCAGAGGACAATATTGTAAATTAGATTAAAAGAAAGCATTCGAAAGAAAACTTGCATTCATTTAGAAAAGATCCATCATAATCAGAGCTTAATGTTAACTAAAATTAGCCAGTTGAGTAAAGACTCTTTAACTTGAAGAGAAAATATGATTAGAATGTGGCGTAAAGATAAAAATAAAAAGAAATTTAAGAGATTTCTGAGTTAAAGAACCCAATGATAAACAGCAAAAGCTAAAAACTATTGGAGAAGCAATCTTATTTGAATACTAAAGTAGAGGATAGACTATTAGAGGTTGGTAAGAAGTGGAAAGACAAAAAGGAGTAATAACTAAAAGAATACATTGAGGAAATGGAGAGCAGGGCTTATCCAGTTTTAACAATAAATCAGAGCTAAGTGCAGTAGAGTCAGTAGTAAAAATCAGCAACAAAGTAAAAATCTGATTTGAAAAATAATTTCTTTGAGAGACTTAAGAAGTAAATGGAAAAGAAGGAGAAAATGCTTGAAAAGCTAAAGAATTAGTTTGATGAGGAATAAATAATTAAGTTTCAAAAAGAGAATTAAATTAGCAAAAAAGAAGCTGAGTCTCGATTAAAAGAATTCGATCAAAGACTCTAGAAATATGAAAACTTGAAGGAAAATAACAAAACGAAAATAATGACAAGAGAGCAAAGTAAGTGCACATTCATTCCATAGATAAATGAATATTCAAAGAGGTTGCTAACAACTTCAGCATCAAGAGAGAGACTTCGAGATGTGTAGACTCCTAGGAAAAATCATCATTCAAAATGCAAAACAGATAGGTTCTCTAAATCCCCTCACACATCCAGAAGTATGCACTAAACCAACACATAGTCCTAGGATTACCTTGATAGCAGATTAAGTAATTAAAATAAGCAATAGACTGAGCAAAGCAATAGAAGTATAAGGTCAAGATCGAAGACACCACAAAGCATCAATTAAAGCAAATAAGATGAGATATTTTCTTTCCATCCTGTAATCAATGAGAAATCAAGATAAATGGCTGAAAGGTTAATCCTTGGCTATCAATAGCAAAGGTAGCACTCAAATTAGAGAAATGAGGATGGAGATGAGAATTAGTATGATACTACTGTAAATAATAACTCCGCTCTTGAACCTAGATGGAGTCATCTGTACCGAAAGCATTTTGAGATTCAATAAAAGCAGCACTAAGTTAAGGAGCAGCTCAAGGAGTACTAAGAATACTAAGATTCACAAGAATGCACTTTCAAGCCTGACATATCAGAGACAAGCTGGGTTTACTAAAACATAGGCTAAATGGGGGAAGTTTAAGAAAGAAATTATATTTGGCATGAAAACAGAAACCAAAGTAAGATAACATTGCTAAAATCTTTACAATTTTTAGAGCTGAAATAACTGAATAAATTGTTTAAGTAAGAAGAACTTGAAGACTGTACGTTCCACCCACAAACCATTGTAAAATTCATTAATTAACTCATATTATCAGCCTTAGAGATAATATGAATAGGCTATATAAGCAGATTACAGTCAATTAAACACAAAAGCTATTGAGAAATTCCTTGAGAGGTGTAATTATGCTAAATAGTTGAAGTATGAACAAGAACTAAAGGAGGAGCAAAGATTTGGCTCAGGCAGGAAATGGAAAAATTGTATAACTGTCCCCAAGGCACCGAACTTTGTTGTTGATTATTTCGAAAAGTAAAGGCAAAAAGATCCATCTCCTATTAAATCAGAACTTTCTCAAACTCGATTAGTAGAGAGGCAAAATCTTTACAAAGAGGTCACACCAACAAGAAAACAGCTTCTTTATGATAAAAATAGATCTAATAGAAGTCAGAATAATAACTAAGACATATAACTTAGCAACTAAAACTAGAATCATTTAGATAATTTGCATCACTTAATGAATTAATAGCAGCAATAGTTAAATGAATAGGCTGACACAAGCAATAATATGAATAATGGAAATCCTAATTAGCAATTTAACTAGAATTATGGGTAAATTAATGAAGTCAACAATAATTTTCTCTACACTATTTAAGAAGCAGATGTAGAAAATTCTAAAATTACAACCTATGCATAAAATACGAGGAGGATAGGAGACTATACAAATAAAAACACACTAGAAAAGCAAAGACCTACAGATGGGTAGTACGAAAAAGATATGCACTTAACAAATATATTCGATTACCAGAATTCACTATAGGAAACTTAAGCCCCAATTTAAAGAGTAGCAGATGGGGGTGAAGGAACTTAATACCAAAATGCTTTAGAATTCTTGCATGAGCAACTGCATAAAATTGAATTTTCCTTTGATCAATAGCAATAAGATTGATAAATTAATTTATTATTTTTTAAGTTACAAATGTAGAGTAAATTTATTAATCTTGGGGTTTTGGGGTTTTGGGGTTTTGGGG